AATAAAAGACGAATAAATGAGACTCGATTAAAAACGATACGATAAATAATCGAAATTCGATATGAATAAATCGATATTTCTGACGCCTTCGCAAATGTGTCACAGTTTGAATAGAAAGAAGAAAAAGAAGGAAAAACAATAAAAAAAAAAAAAATGAAAAAGAATAAAAACTATGTCTCGTGACTTTAGGGAGACCGCCGACATCAAGGTCCCCCATTTATGAAAGCAACACTGGAATCTAGTGGGCAGCGATTATTTTGAAAGCAGGCAATGACATTGAGCCGTCGCCTCAATGATGTCAGACGTACGGAAGTGACATCATTTTGCTCCTTATCACAAGCTCCGCCTGAATCGTACGCAGTAAGAATAACACTCGGTATATATTGCTATCAGCGAAGATATCTAATCAAAACAATCGCTCATCGAATTAATAACCAAAATATGTCTATTACTTCGAACTACCGACTAATTTGTTTATCCTTCTATTCACATTATCTCATTGTTATTATATTTTTGTCATTATGAATAACAGACTCGAAAATATTCTCTGAATAATAATTATAATAATTCAATCGTGAGTAAGAGAGAGATATATATATATTTTTTCTCCATTTTCCTCTCAAGAAAAAGAAAATAAAAGAAAAATAATTATAGATCAATATATTTTCAAAATAAATTTAAAAAAACAAAACATCGTTCTATATGCAAAAGCAACGATTGAAAAAAAATTGCATTTTCTTTTTCACCTCTCTTCACATATTTACATACATATATATATTTATAAAAGTTGTCTCTATATACATATTATACATACGCACCATACACGTATGTCTCTCTTACTACACACAGATCCAGGAGAACCTAACAACGTCCAACACTACTGACATTCCCGAACGATTGTGTCACGCGTGCTTACAGTCGCACGATGCTTTTCGGTGCACCCTATGAGGCATGCGCACGCGTGCATTCCCATATTCCCCCCTTTTTGTCACCTGCACCTTCAAAGAGAAACGTTCGAGTTTTCATTATGACAAAAGAAATACATATTAAATACTGGTAGTTGAAAGAGACTTTTCTTGTGATTCATCTCTTCAAACAAATTGACCTAATTTACCGAACAAATTGATGCGACCTTGACGCATACAGGAACCATAACTGATTCACAACATCCTAATTAGACTGGAAACAAAGTTTACGTGTGCAATTTAAATCCCTCTCTCTCTCTATTTTTTTTTATATGATTTAATAAATATAAATTAACTACCCACTGCGTGTGATTTTTGATTATTCGAATAAAGAAATGATGTGTTTAAATGAAAAAGAGTAAGGGAACAGTCAAGGATATTTATTGATAATTATCTGATCCCTACTGTTTCAAGTGGCTTCGAGGTTATCACTGCTTATCATTGATTACGAAGAAAGTGAAATGCAGTTTATCGCGTATTACTTTTGCAACGTTACGCCCTATTCCAATTACCAATAAACGTCTACAAGCCTTTAGGAAACTTTATTGATATATTAAGACGAATAAAATGTCGGCCAATTCGAATACAACCTGTTGGGTGTGTCCGATAAATATATATATATAGTAAAAATAAAGGAACAAACCACTCTTACATTCTATTTCTATTTACAAAGTTTTGAACTAATACTTATGTAAGAAGGACTTATAGAAATCCGATTTGTCCTCGTAATGCTAAATAAAGAAACTACACAGGTATATAAAAAGGAACACAGGCTTATTTGAGATCATCGATCCACCTCGTTTGCGAATACAAACACACAGAAACATTCACACACACATATACGTGTATACTATCCGAGGGTTGGTTGCATCTTTCTCCTATTACGAAGCATAGCTTAAGCTAATGCAAAGAGTGCGTTCAATTACGATCCTTTTTCAGGATTACTCAAGGTTTTTTTTTAGTGTATTCAGAAAGGGGAAAAAAAGAAAAAGATGCCCTACAAGAAGAACAACAACAACAACAACCCCTCTGTCACGCAAGAAATCCGAAGGGAAATCCACGAACGGCTTACTGTCACGCGATACCAAAACGAAACTGACCATACTGCTGACTTCCGTTATGCCAATATCAAATCTCAAAGTGAATCTACTTAGGGTTGATGGAATGAGGGAGTGCCACTATAATTTCACGTGAAAACCTGTTACGAAATAAAATCAAGAAACCTATGGGAAGAAGCTTTACGACACAGTCGTTAACATTGTCCTTCCATAAGAAATAAATTTAAAGTTCAAAGAAATATAACCGATGTAGCTGTGATAGTTTTCCTATCGTTAGAATAATTACTTCGATTGATCTTAGTAATCGATGTTAATTGAAATATTTGCAATGTCAAACACGTAGAATTACATGATCAAATTTATTAACTCTAACAATTTATCTCGCACCTTAATTGATTAAAAATATTTCCCGAAGTTTTCGTAACTTTAATTTCAATAGAAATATGACGAAATAAACACGCGCGTATTATCATTGTACAATTAAATGTACGCGTATTACTTTGGTACTTTTGCTTTTTTTTTTTGTTTTTTTTTTTATCGTAAGCTTCTAACGACATTAATTTTCTAGTTCTCACGTTCGGTAATCTCTCTTTTTTTTCTCTCTCGTTCTAGGCTTTATCGTACGAGAACTTGTTTGGCCATAAATGAAATTGCTATGTAGCATTGGCACAATTCTATTTCTTGATCTTTCGAAATTACTTCGACTAATGTAGACTAAACCAAAGTAAAGTAAAGTATACTAAAGTAAAGTAAATTAAACAAAGTTACAATAAACTTAATCGGTAAAGAACTTGAATGTGTTTTCAAGTTAATTAATTTTTACACCGTGCGTATAAAAAAATATATTATATTCCTTAAAGTGTTACTTATACTTCGTTATCGTAATTTCGTAATAAAAACAAAATATTATACAGCATTAATTTTTCACAAACATTTAATATTTGGCGTTAAATAAAAAAAAAAAAATTATGTATACGTATATTATAATGTATGTTTATCACATTAAGGTGAAACTTTGATCGAAATTCGAAAACGAATTATTATCATGGCAAAGAGAAGAACGATCCATCATCAGACCATACACAGAGCTTGACACTTCACAAGCTAGAACCCTCGACCATGTCGTTGGTCATATCGACGTTGTGGAAAGCTAACTAACTTGCTGCTAACCTACAACGTTATTTTACGACGATAGACAGGAAGAGAACATTGCGAAAGAGTACGAACAACGATGGTTAGATACTAAATTAATAATTCTACTATTGGCTTAATAATATGCGAGCAACGTACTCGTATGGAACCAAATGATCTATCCTCTCTCCTATCTCGGACATATATGTAAATAAATAGACACACACGTTTAGAGACACGGTATACTCGGTTAAAATATTATTTCAATTTAGAGATAACTACATCTGTGTTATTTCTATCATTCTCAAATAAGATTACATAGGTATGTAGATATTCCTATATCTACTTCATTACTCAATATCATTAGATTACACATATTAAAACTTGACCTATATGATGATTTAAATGAACAAACCTAAAATGAATTAAAACTACAGCAATAATAATTTAATAACTCTATATTATCATTATCATACTTTAATAAATAAATTACTAATAGCGTTATTTAATAATTATTATTATTGTATTATAATATTATAGAAATATGAACGGGAATATTAATATTTTATAGAAAATTATTCAAATCTCTTTTGACATTAAGTAATCTTTCTAATCGATTAGGGTAGCAACGCGTAATTCATTTCTAATTCTACCAGTGGAAAGTACGAAGCATCGAATCTTCTGGTAATAACCAAGGGATATAATATTATATTTATGTATCGTACGTTATCGGATCGGTCAACCGATCTCGACGCGTTAAGACACCTAATTACACGTTCCGTTCAACGCACACGCTTCTACGAACTCGTGGTTGTTAGAAGACAGAAAGTACCCGAAGCAGAGACCGACATACAGAATCGTTTACATCTCTTGGGCCTTCGATGCGTAAGATCTTTCTCAAGAAAGAGAGAGAAAAAAAGAGAGAGAGAGAGAGAGAGAGAGAGAGAGAGAGAATTAATTACATTGCATAACATAATTACTATATTCATCTTTTATATGAATAAAAATCTATTCATATATTTTTAATTTCTAATCAAATCCATTTCGAAGAAAATGAATAATAATTAGCTGATGGAAATAATCAAATTGGAAAATAGATTTTTTTGTTACAACACAATAGAAATTTTTGACGATCTAATAAGAACTAGATTCGCATACGAGAAAGGGTTGTAAAGTTATCAGCTTATTCTTATTTAAATATTTTGAGATAAATAATAGTTTGACCAATAAACAAAAAAGAATTCTTTTTACATTAAACTCCAAGACTTTTCAATTCATCCACGTATATTCCTTTGTTTTCTAATTAAATTTATATCCATTCCAAAAGAAAAACATGCGATACAATTATCTCAATGTATGTGATAATTATGAATAATAATTCAAATAAAAAGAGATTATATTTTTCTTTCTTTTCTATTGTGATCACGATGATCACAATTAATACTAAATTAAAAATAAAATAAAATTAAATCAAATTAAATATAAAAAAGACCGAAAAATTTGTATTATTACCTTAGCATCGAAAGCATCGATGGCCGTCCGTCGAACTCCATTCATCTTTCGACGATTTCGATAAAGGTTCGCAATGTTCCGTATCTTAGCAGAAATTTTGGTTCTTAATTTTCAGCTAAGAAAAAAAAAGTCGTGGTGCAATATCTCTTGATAGTTTTCGTTGTCAACGACGCGATGTGTTTTCCTTCTGGTAGTAAAGTCGAACTTTGTAAAGCGCGCTTCGTTTCGATCTACGCTACCGCCGCATCCTCCTCCTCCTCCTCCTCCTCCTCTTCTTCTTCTTCTTCTTCCTCCTCCTTCACCTCCACCTCCTCCACCACCTCCTCCTCCTCCTCTCCGCCTCCTTCTCCAGTTCCTCCAGCTCCTCCTCCTCCTCCACCTCCACCCTCTTGGATCGAACTCGACGAGCTCTGCTGAAAAGCTATCGACATCGAGCGACGTGTGCGTGCGCATAGACTCGCTGAAATGAGAAAAATCATTCTTCGATCTTTGATCTTACTCATATACATACATATCCACACATCGCGCGCGCGCGCATTGTACGTATGTGAAAAATTATATAAACAAAATAGATAAGGAAAAATCATTGATCATGAATTTTCGAAAAATTTTAATTACACCTCAAATAAATACTTATACTTTTAATTTTTTTTTTTTTTTCTTTCAATACAAAATTATATGCATCTTAAATTAGAAATTTAATTTCAAGAAAAAAAAAAAAAAAGAAAGACATTTATAAATAATTCAAAGATTGATTCATTATCGCGCGCGTATTAATATTGAACGTGTGATGTGAGGTATTCGAATGAAAACAAAAATATTAAATGCAAGAGATTCATAATTAATATTATTGATTTTCAATTTAAATATAGTCAAGAGTTATGCGCGTTTCGAAAGAGAAATATTATTTTTTTTTGTTTTTTTTTCTTTTTTAAATAATATTTAATAGAAAGATGATAGAGAATATCAATGTTAACGGTTGATAATTGTTTACGATAGTTGTTAAACGCATAAATTTAAAATCATTTGTCCTTATCCTCTTTATAAATCGTAACGCCCACGCGACAAAACATTTCCATTCCAGCGAACAGCAACCAAAACATACCGCACGAACTATACTTCGATTTTACTTTTTAATTCCTTGCTAATGAAAGAGAGAGAAAGATAAATAGAGAAAGAGAGGAAAGAGTGAGGTAAGGGGGAACGGAAAACCTGTATATAAAAAAGAATACATAGCGGTATATACGTACGGTACATAAGAAAAAAGAGAAACTGTTTATCGCGAATACAAGAATACGTTGACAAAACTTTCATTGTTGATTGCGGTTATCTTATATTCTCTGTATCCTCTAAAAAAAGATTTAAAAATAAATTCATTAAAACTTCCTATTACTCATACATATTTCATATCGCTTATAAGAATGCATGAAAAATTGGATGAAGAAAAAATGGATGTTTCTCGTCGTCAACAATTAAAGTTCATTCTTTTTTCTTCCAAATGTAAATTAATTAACTGTGATTTATTGTTATTTATTTTTGTTTTTGGCAAACTTTACCTTCTTCATTATTTCCAAATTAAAAACGGTCAAGTAGATAAAACATAATCTATGGCAGCTCGTAAACGTTCGTCGTTTGATCTGCCAACAGAAAAGAGGCACACAGAATAGATTAGAAAATGATAAAGAAAGGAAAGGGTAAAGGGATGGGAAAGAAAATAAAAGAAATAAGAGCATAGAAATCGAAAGGGACGTAGAGAAAGAAGACATAACAAAAGATGATTTGACTTGCAACGATTGGCTATTCGAAAATATTCACTCACCGATGTATACAATAATCGAGAGAAAGATTGTAGAAGTTAAAACAGGTTTAAGAAACGTACCGACCGGTCGAACTTTAAATCGGTCATGTGTCTAGCGGTGTAGAACGATTTTATGACTCGTGGATCTGCTCGGTCGTAATCCGTTAATGAAAATTTGTCGTGTCCAGGACCTCTAGGCTCCTGGTTAAAGATTAATTATGATCCTTGTAACGATGATTCAAAAAAAGGACGACATTTGTTAACGATGTTACGCCTCGTTTCTATTTTTCTCTCTTCTCCTCCTTTTGTTGTTACTTTTTTTGTGTGTTTGTTAAAGTATTATTATAATTAAAACAAAAACAAAAATAATAATAATAATAATAATAACGATCTAATATATATAATTTCAAATAATTCTCGCGAACTAGCGAACTTGGAAGATATATAATATTTTAGAAAAAGGGGGAGAAAAAGAAATAATATAAAAATATAGAAAAACAACGAGGAGAGATAACAAAAAAAAAAAAAGAAAAGAAAAGAAGGAAAAGCTCTACGGGCACGTGGCACCGGAGTTAGAAAAATCACGAGAGAGCAGAAACGAACGTAAGACAGCCGGCTTTCGAGCAGTCTGCTTCACGACTGCCGGCGCGGTTAAAAAACCACGCGATGACCTCATCGCGCACACCGTCTTATATGTATCCTATACTCTCCTATCCCCTGTGTCGTTCCTGCTTGCTCTACTCACTTGTCAGCTTGCCTCTCTGCTCGGGTTGCTTGCTTACCTGCTTGCCCGCTCGTTTGCCTGTTCGCCTGCTAAATACTGATCATCCTAAAAACATTCATCATATTTAATACCACCTACGTTCATCTCCAACTCTTTTATTATATTTTATATTTATATATTTTTTTCTTTTTTTTTTGTATTCCAATTCGGTCAATTAAAACTTACCTATTAAAGTTTTATTTTCTTTTTTTTTTGTTTTCAGTTTAATAGTGTTTAGTAAAATCCTTATAATATCTTCTAACTTCGGATTGGTTGTATATAATTCGATATTTGTAATAAATGCGGTATGCATTAAAATTATTTAATTATTGTTGAAATTATTGAATAATCTTCAAAGCAAAACTGAAATATATTGATTTATTAAAATTTTATAAAAAAGAAGAGTTAATTAATCTATTGAAATTACTTATATCAATAAATATAATTACCATTCTCGGGAAATTAATTTTGAAAATGTTCTTTAGGGAAATAGGTTTTTTAGTTGAATATAATATTTATTTTCTTCTTCTTTCGGATTTATTAATACCTCTTTTCCTTTATCATTGATTACGTAAAACATGCATAACTCACAAGGAATATATCTGTAACAAAATACATGAATAATAAAATAAAGTAAAATACAACATAAGAACTTGGTAATTGCCAAACATTTATTTTCAAGTTAAAAAAACAGACAAAATATTATAAAGTAATAAAATAATTTTCTTACCTGTCATTCCAAGCATAATTCCGAATATGATTTGGTTGAAAAATCTGTGATATCGATGGTCGAATAGCAGAAAATCTATAAAATACAGGAGCCTTCTTATTTCACGATTACAATGTCTGCCTTATTGCCGCGCTAAATAACAAAAGTATCATGGCAGCTACAATTTGATTGGCTAACAACTTGTCTCGCGTAATACTTAAGTCATAAATTTTTATATAAGACTATTTTTTTACAAGAATACAAATTAAATTCTTTTTCATTGAAAATACAAATATTTCTAATATTAATTAATCATTTTATTCTTTGCAAAGATTTTATGATTCTTTTAATATGATTTTTTTTTTAATATTAGAATATTAATAAAAATGCTTCACATAAAAAACGGAAATTAAAAATTATATATAATCTATTACATTTATATAAAAAATATATATAAAATATATTAAATAGTAGCAATCAATATAAAATTAATAAATCAGCTACAAATTTTTACTTTTACGATTGGCAGCAATGTATAAGGGAAATATTCATGTAACTTATGTATAGGTTAGAAACTCACAGACGCTTGATCAAAGCGTGAACATTGAAAATATTTATTAGTATAAACGATTTTGTTAGAATCATTAGAAATGGCTTCTAATCAAAGTGGCAATAAAAAGCCTGCACGTCCACAAAATGTACAAATCAAAATTGAACCAGGAACTTCTTTACCAGTAACTCTCAAAAATATTAAAACAGAACCAGGCGTTGCACCCACGACTACACGATTAACATCTTTTAGGTTACCACGTGATTTAACTTTAGGTGGAAATATAAAGACTGAAAAGACAAAAAAAGTTTATGTACCAAATTTGAATACTCAACGAAACAGAAAGAAAGAGTAAGTCCATTCTCGTATTTAATATTTCTAAATATTATTACTTGGACAACAATTAAACTAACATTTGTATACAGGGAAACAGTGGTAACTAAAAATGATCCTGACAAATCACTTAAGCAAAGAGGTAGAGGAAGAGGTCGTGGATCATCTGACCGTGGAAGAGGCAGAGGCAATAGCAATCTTATTCAGGTAATTTTTTTTAATAATACTAACTTTTCTTTCTTGATAAAGCAGCAAACTAATATAATGCATTATACTTCATTTCTATTTCTTTGTATGGTCAGACTTCTGGTGTATTTTCCCAAGGTACAATTGATCCTCAAATTGGTAGAAGGGCTAGAGGAGAAGGAGGAGGACGATACAGCTCTGATAGAAAACCTTCAATAGAAAGACCTAAATTAAACTTAAATCGTGTAATTAATAAGGAAGAAGAAGAGCAAAAACTAAAAGCATTATTAAGGGATGATTTCATCGATGATGGTATAGATGATACAGGACTCGATACATATAATGCTCCTATTTCATTGCCCATAATAAAAAAGGGTATGATTCTTTTAATACGACACAGTAATATAGAAATGAATACAATTATAATTTATTGTCGTTAATAATTATAGGCGATTGTTTTAAAACGGAACCTAAGACTGAAACTAGTACAACATTGGGTGATGACGAGATAGATCAAAAACCAATCATTTCAGAAAATGGCACTGGTAAGCAACATATAATATATTATCTAATTATTATAATCTATCTGTTATATATATAAAATATAAATTTCCAGTAATAAAAGTGAAGAAAGAAATTAAAAAGGACAAACTTACAAAAAGCGAGCCTATAGAAACAAATCTGTGGGACAATATTTCACAAGTTATTGAAAAACCCCATAACTATATGTTAATGCAGGTATTAGAATTTTTACATTTTGATGAAATAATATTACGAAATATTATTAACAGTTAATTAATTATTTACTTGCAGTTTCCTGATTGCCTACCAGGTTTAGAAGCAAGTAACGATAGTTATGTACCAAAATCGAAGCATGCAAATAATACACCGCTAGAGACAGAAAATAAAAACAATTCCAAACAGAATTTTACTCTGAGCAGCTTGAAAGCTGGTATGATTGGAAAATTACAAATTTTAAAATCTGGAAATGCACGCTTATGTATAGGCAAAAGCAGTTTAATTGTAAATGTTGGATCTAATCAGAGTTTTCGACAGGTAATCATAGATGAATTTACCCTTCAAAAAAAGAAATGTATTAAATTTGCTAATAATATTTAAAAATACATTTTTCTTTCAGGATCTTATAGCTGCAAAGCTAAACACAGTTGAACTGAATGGTGAACTTATCAATCTCGGAACAGTTACTAATACACTAATATGCTCTCCAGAATGGAATTCTATGTTCCTTAATTCCTCGAGTATATTTGACAACTTATCTTCTGTATAAGTACAAAATGATTAATATAACTAATCATTCAAGTTATATATAAGATATGTACAGTTTTGTTTGTAACTATTAAAAACGGAACCTACTGTTTTTAGATACGACTTAAAGCACCAAAAAATTAAATGTTTCTTATGTACATTTTTATTATCCCCCTCATATAAATTGATACCTAAACGGTAAAAATTTAAATTATATTGCGTCTAAACAGATAAGTATTGTATATGTGAATGTAAGATATAATAAATAAATTAACTATAGAAATTATATCGAACATTATTATCACACTTTTTCCAAAATGATATATTTCAAAAATACTAAGAATACGTGAATTATAAAGTAAATTACATCACGTATAAATTCGATATTTAAAGTCTAGACAAAATTGGTGATTATTACAAAGTAAAGGTTGTCGAATGAGATGATAGTAGCGACGCCAAAATATCTTCATTTTTCAAGTTGTACAGTAGAAATAAACAACATTATATAATATATAAATTATTATATACTAAATGCAAATTTCGGTAGTGAAACTAATTACACAAATGAAAATAAGTTAGACATTTTGTATCGCAATGGTGCTATATAACAAGAAATAATTCGCTAAAATTAGGTATGAGACACATATATAACTGCTTAGTGATAAGAATAAAGTAAAAGTAAACAGTTTCCTAACTCAACATGTACCTACGTATCTTAATATTATTAAAATTTAGAGGTGTATAGGTGTTGCGTCCTATTTCAGGACAAAAAAAATAGCTATAATTAAATGTAATAACGTACTGATGTATTCATGCTTTGTTGTATCAACTTATGAAATTATTTGTAGTATTATCCTTTGATTATATTAATAATGAAAATAAAAATTAAAATATTCACTCTCAAAGGTATATAAGAATTATACAAATAAATTACTTGTTAAATGACATGTCAGTGCAAGGATTAGAAGCTGGTTTCATAATGAACAAATTTCATTGTGGTCAATGTTCAAATTTAACCTCGCTTTCTTTTCAGTAATAAACAAGATAATTCACAAGATAATTCATCAATTTGATCAGTACATTGTGGTATGAATACATGTTAGGTAACACGATCTTGGATACGACACATATAATCTCAATCACTTCTTTCAATACTATGTCCTTTTTTCATTGATTTTAATGCTTTCTCCCGTAGTTTTTTTTCTAGTTCTTCTGTATTCCCTTCACTTATATCGGATTCGTCCGAATCTGCGATCTTCTTCTTTTTGTGTTTTCTATGTTTTTTGTGTTTCTTATGCTTCTTATGCTTTTTATCCTTCTTCTTTTTCTTTTCTTCTACTTCACTTTCCTATACACACAGAAATTAAATAAACCACAAATTCTTTTTGTATATATTGATAAATATTATGCAAGAATAATATAATATATATATAATAATAATATTAATTATTATATACTAAATTTTACGATATATTACATTTAAATACCAACCTCTGATTCGCTTGTACTAGTTTTTGTCTTCTTTTTACGTTTCTTTTTAACTTTCTCCTCGTCAGAGCTATCATCAACTTTTCGTTTCTTCTTAATATCTTTTTCCACAATATCTTCGTCATCGGTACTAGAATCTCGTTTAGATTTCTTCGATTTTGTTTTAGTTTCGTCGTCGCTAGTTGAATCTTTTCTTGTTTTCCGTGTTCTAGATTTTTCATCTTCGGAAGAACTATCTCTTCTTTTCCTTGACTTTTTCGGTTCGTCGTCAGAACTTGAATCCTTCTTAGACTTTCTTGATCTAGATTTATCGTCATCGTTTTTATTTCTTTTTGTTTTGGAATCCTCTTCTGCAGATGAAGAATCTTTTCTAGATCTCTTAACCTTTTTTATATCTTCTTCTATTTCTTTTTTCGTATTACGCTTTCGAGATTCACTTTCAATTACTTCACGTTTTCTATTGTCCTTTCTATCCTTACTTCGATCATCTATTGAATCTAATTAACAAATTTATATATAAATAGTTGTAATAAAAAATGAATCATACAATCAATTTTTTAAATTTTTCGATTTAGTCACTGTTATAATTATCACTACTTAAATATTTGAAAATAAATATTTATTCAAATCTTACCTCCTCGACTTAAATCCCTTTTTTTACTTTTGTCCAAATGTTTTCTATCATCTTCAGATTCTGAACTAGAACCGGCTTTGCTTTTATCAGACTTGTCTTCGTCGGAAGAAACTTTTCTAGATTTCCTAGATCTATCTACTTTCTTTACCTTCTTTTTCCCTATAAATATATTTATATATGTGTGTATTTAATTTTTAATAAAATAGTAAAGTTCTCTTTTGTAAAATAAAATTTCATTTATTTTTACCTTCAGTATCACTATCATCAGAATCTGTAGATCCATCCCGTTTATCTCTTTTAACTCGTTTTATAGAATCAACTGGCTTTTTAGGTGCTACTGTTTCAATAGATTTTTGACCAGTTCTTTTCTCTTCCGATGCAGGTTTACTTGATTTGGTTGATCTGTCATCTTTTTTCAAAAGAAAAGCGTCGCCAGATGTAGCACTTGGTTCGCCTATTTTTGGTGATTCTTCCTTAGAATCTTCCCTACAATTAGAATATTGTATCATTATATAATTATATGAAATAAATAAATAAATTAATTAATTAATTAATGTATATAGATATGTGTACATACTTTGACGGTTGTTTTAACTTAGTAGCTGCAATGATGTCTTCTGTCTTCTTAAATGGTGAAGGTGTACGGGATAAACTCTTGGAGAACTAAAATTTTAAAAATTTATTTTTATCGACGTTAAATGTATATAAAAATAAAGATCAAATAAAGAAAAGGAAGATCAGTAATTACCCTATGTCTGCTGACAGGAAGTACAGTTAACTGTTGTTTCTTTGGTGAAACGCTTGGTTCAGCCTTTTTGACGGAGATTGATTCGGTCTTTTTCACATCCTTTTCAGTCCGTTTCATAGTTTCTTCTTTAAGAATCTTCTCTTTCTCTTTCCTCTTATTCTCGTCCAACTGTTCTCGATCGTGCTTCTCTTGAGATTTTCTTTCGACCGATTTTCTGCGAGCACAATAAGTGTAAATGTTAAAAGAAAATAAATGAATATGAAAAAGAGAAAGTTATTTAACATAAAAGTTTGAATAAAACGCGTTAATCAAAGAATACTCATATAACTGGATAACCGTAGCTTCTGAAAAGAAAGAGATAGGAAATAAGTACATAATACTCACCTAACTGATTCATCCTCATTGCTAGAGGTACTACTTTCGCTACTTTCCGAGCTACTCGACTTAGACCTTCCGTTTCGTAATTCTTTTCGCGATCCCGTGTCGGTCGATCTTTTAACTTTTTCATCGACCTTCTTGTCTCTCGTTTTATCCTTGACGTCCTTAGAACGATCGGGAGATCTTTTTCCCTCTCTTATACGATCCACCGATGATCGTTGATCTCTAGATCTCGATCTACGATCCTTATCCCTTCTATCTCTGGACCGTTCTCGTCTACTCGATCTGTCACGAGACGACGATCTATCATACCTGTGCGATCTATCTCTTCCATCTGGTGAACGACGTCTACTGTCTCGACGATCGGGTGATCGTCGTCTGTCGCGTCTCTCCGATGATCTCCTCCTACGATCCAAAGATCTTCTTCTTCGCCTATCTCCAGGACTGGGTGATCTTCGACGATATCTTGCTGGACTTCTACGTGGTGGACTTCTGAAACATCATTACTTTTATACTGTAATATTACAATTACCAAAACCGATTAAAATAACTGACCATAGTAAAGTGAGTCTCTATTTTATCTGTTTTTTTTTTTTTTTTTTTTTTTTTTTTTTTTTTTTTTTTATTTGTCTTACCTTCGCCTACTAGGTGCTCTGCGTACTGACGGTGGTCGCATGTTACGACTTCCGCTATATCTGTCCAATCTTTCTCTCTCTCTTTCTCGTTCTCGTTCCCTTCGTCGATCACGTTCTCTATCCAACGATCTCCTGAAAAGCATACAAAAAAAAACATAGACAGTTAATTTTTCTGAAACACATTATGCAAACAGTGAGTAATTTTAATATTCAAATACTGTTTAATTAAAATTCTATTTCTTTACCTTCTTGTTCTATCACGTGATCTATCACGTGATCTATCTCGCGATCTATCTCGAGATCTATCGCGGGATCTATCTCTTTCCTTAGAACGGCCTCTCTCCTTACGTGGTGATGGACTTCTTCTTTTGGGTGCTGATTTTCTTTCACGACTTGAATCACTGTCGCTACCGCTGTCATCTTTATTAGTTTTTCTGTAAGATCGTTTAGCCTGAACGCCATCTTTCTTTTTCCTTATTTCAAAATCATTTTTATCCTTTGCACCTTTGTCTCCTTCGGTTCCAGAACTACTGCTAGTACTATTATCTCGTTTTCGATTAGAATCAATATTGTCCTTTCGTTTGTCAGATGATTTCGAACGAGATTTCGTTGATCTCGAATCGCTCGAGGCGGATCGCGACTTTCTAGATTTACTTCGATCGTCACTTTTTGATCGAGATTTTTTCGATCTAGAATGTGATCTACTACGTGATCTTGAATTTTTGGATTTTGATCTTCTTGATTTCAAACGATCTTGCGAACGTGACTTAGATCTTCTTGACTTAGATCGTGATCGCGATCGAGATCTTCGGGATCTAGACTTAGATCGAGATCGTCTTAATTTCGATCCAGGCGATCGTGATCTACGTGATTTTGAATCTCTGCTAGGTGACTTTGATCTAGATTTCTTGGAACGCGTTGTTGTTGCTGGAGATTTGGATCTTGATCTAGATTTTTTTGTTGTTTTTTCCAATGACTCGGGTGATGGTGTACGATTGTTTTTCTTTTTACCATCAGCGATGCTCATTAACTTTGCTTGTAATCTGGATATTGCGACTGCGGCTTCCCTAATAAATAATATATGATAATACATACATTTAAAGGAAGATAAAAAATAGAAAAGAAAAAAAAAAGTAAAAATAAATATCATCAATATACTTACGGCTTAGTTTTGACTGGCATTAATGGTATTGCATTTTCAGGTTGTGGTGAATCTTCACGTTCAACTTTAATATCTGACATATCTTTCCCGTTATCTTTAAGAGAGTTCTTGCTAGGTGATCTTGAAGAAGACCTCCTTTTACGGCTTGATCTATCACGATCTCTATGTCGATCTCTTGATCTACTCCTTTTATTTCTACATTAACACATATTAACATAATTAATGCGAGAAATGCAAAGTATAGGTTTCACAAAATATTATTATTACTTTAAAACATATATTATTAATAACAAAAAAAACATACCTGTCCCTATCACGATCTCTACTCCTATCTCTTCTGTGCTCTTTTGACGAAGCACGTTCCTTCTCTTCTTTCTTTATCTTGTCCGTCTCATCCTTTTCTTTTTCACGTTCCTTCTCTTTTTCTTTTTCGGCTAAAGATGCTTGCAGTTTTTCTTGTTCTTCCTAAATAATATATTACAATATTTTAATTATATATTATTCTACTTTAATAATGTTTACTGTTTATTATACAATAATTAATATTTATCAATTTTTAAATCAATGAACCTAACTTCTTAGTACATTTTATTTAGCTTTTCAATTGTTCTTATTTCTGACAGCAATTCATGACAAGACAAGTAGATAAATGTATATAGTATGCCTTGCAAAATGGAAAAAAATAAAAAAACAAGAGAGACATAAATAAATGTGAATATATCTAGTTTACATTTGAAATTTGAAGAGAAAGATGATATAATTACCAAGCGTTTTTTAATCTGATCTTTTTTCTGCTGTAAGAAAGCCTCTGGAATGCCCGTAACACTTTCTTGAGCAGAGACCAAAAGGTCCCACAATTCACCCATGAAAGATCGAGCATTCCTTCCATTAAGGAATCCCGTGAGGTTGATCTGCATTTTTCGGGGATCAGGAAACTGTAAAATACATAGCATATAAATTTATCAATTTACAAAAATCCAACTTTAGCATGGTAAGATTCGAGAGATTTGTATAAAAAAAAAAACAAATCTTACTCGTATGTATACCTTTGTGCAAGCATCATATATATAAAAAAATATAATACAAAACCACTATTCCTAATTTATTACTAACTGCTTTTCCCCCTCGAAAAAGCAGATTTATCTCCATATTAGTGATATATCTTACCCACCGCATCACAGAACCGCACATAAAATAACCTGAAGTAAGAGAGGCAACAGCACTTGCTAAGAAAAATATTTTTATCGATAAATGCAGAAATATCTCAAGCATACAGATACCTTTAAGATCTTCGTAATTTCATGAAATGCTATATTGGAAATGCTGAAATAGGAAAGTCAAAGAATTAATGCAGAATAAAAGGATTACCATTTCACCAACCTGTTCCATTGACAAAGACTGTCAAACCATTGAAGAGATACTTCCAGCGTTGACTGGAAAGATTTTTCTATTCGCTGCTAATTCCAGATGATGATCGATGCTTATCTGCAAGCACCAGGTAGAACCAGCTCCAATTAAAATCCATGTTTATGCAACATGGATAATGGCACAGGAAGGTGATTTTCAGGATGCGCAAGGTTGATTGTGTACTGCAGCTGTGTGTAGCTCCCAATGTTGATAGGTGTCTACAGATGACAGGGAGATGGCAGGTCTGCAGGTGATTGGAAGGTGATTAAGTGATGTTCCCATAGAAGAAAGCCTCTGGAATGCTGCCGATGCTCAAATCCCAGACAAAAGCTGGGTACAGCTTTTGCAGTGGTAGCTCGATATCCGACGACCTTTATTGAAGTGGCAGCTATGATGAAGGCAATACTCGTGGCTGCAGTCACGTATTTCATCGGCTATAAAGCCAAGTGATGAAATACCATGGATGAAGGGCTCCAAGAAGGTTGAATTAAACAGGATCCGCAGCATAATCAGCATGATGTGGTGATAGTATTGATGTGAAGTCGTTTCCCTCGATGATGTTGTAATGATGATACCGGTACAGCCAAGATGCTGAAGATTCAGCAGTTGTTCTAAGTTGATGTTGATATAGCAGCTGCCAACTGGTTGATGCTATGGTTGACGGTTGATAGAAAGGCGGCCATACGGATGTAGGGAAGAGCACATCCGAATGCCATTTGGACTAAAGGGTTGAGCCCCACCAACGGTCTCTACTTATACTAACGGGGAATTCAAACATATGCAATAAGACATTATATTCACACATTCAATTTGACAAGATCAGCTACATCAGTTTTCTTTTGTTGAAAATGAATATGCTTGGAGGAGATACTTGGGTTCACAAAAATCAGGATACTCAGGAACAGTGACATTTAACCAAATTAAAAAGCAATCAGGCAAGTACGATAAATACTATCTTTTCTGCCTTGTTGCTTTACCAATCCAAATTCGGCAACTCGTGCAGATTTTGGATCTAAATGTCTGTAAATTGTACCAAACATAGTGCTGAAATAACGTGTATTTATCGATATCCTATGATGAGGGGAAAAAGCCAAGTGAACGCATTTTATAATTCATTCGATAAAACGATACTAAACCTAAATTAGCTATATCGCTGAATCTACCCAAAGTGATATGATGAATGTCTTACCTTTTCTTCCAATTGATTATACACAAATTCTACTACGACGTCATCCTCCATGCCTAGAATCTGCGTAATCTTCGTTGTAATCCATGGCTTGATCACATCTAGTTTTACCTTACTCATATCGACCTGTATATAAAAGAATAATGCATCAAACTCTTACAATTACCATAAATAATAAACTCGTAGGCAATGTAATAATTATAATCACCTTTTGAGTCAAAGAGTCACCAAATTTCATCTGTTTGAGAAGCTTTTTCTCTTTGTCGCTGAATCTGGTGTCCTGCGAAGCGGTTGTTCCCTGTGTTCATAATTGAAATATTTTTTAAGATTTACAAGTAATCGTATTACGTATTCTTATTACAAAATTGCAAAGTCTAAGATTAACGGACCATTGTTATGCAATCTAAATATATTTAAGTTATCTTACCGTATACATCATTTTGGCAAGATGTGAATGTTGAAAAAGTTCCGTGCAGAGAACTACGTTCTCAGTCGGCTGAGTGCCAAAACTGATTCTGTTTTTATTTATTTATCGAGAATTTGATCACGTAAAAATAAGAAAATATTCTTCCTCGTAATATGAAAACTTTAGAATACGATCAAGAATTTCACAAATTTAATATCAGAACAAAAATTTTTAATAAATCATGTACCGACGCGACTACTGAATCAATTGACCAACATGGCTGCTGCTACATTTCCTTTGAATACGAATCATCGAGAACGGAAATGTATTGTAAAAATCCCTTGTGTTACCAATGCAAAGAAAATTATCTTTCACTACCATAACTTCTAGTTGTTTTTTAATTTTTTTTGTTTTCTATTCTTTTATTTTGTTTAAATTAATTTTGGATAAGCGTAGCTTAAATATTTAAAATTAATTTTTTATTTCTAATTCGAAAATTTATAAAAATGGTAATAATTAATAATATTATTCTGCATCGACAATACTACCAACCTATAATTTCATAATATTCTTTTGCAAGTCATTCGTCTAATCGCTTTTAAAATTCAATAATTTTAAAATTTATTATTGATTAAAAAATTATTTTTAATACACAATAAACAAAATTATTTTTGAAATCCGCAAATCGTAAGTTTTACAAAAATTTTTTATGGACAATATTACTATAAACAAATGTGTAACCTAAATTTCTGAGTTGACCAATTAGAATTTAGTTAAATTAACTTACGTCTTTTTTCAATTATGATTGGCTGCAGTAAACCTAAACATAAAATAGTTCCAATTCATTCAGTAATTTTATATCAATTTTGGGTTAATCGATTCTGTCATAAACTTATTAAAAGTGGCTTTATTTTATTGTTAATTAATTTATTTATATCGATAATCTAATTTGAACGGAAAGAACGATACCTATCGATATGAACAAAAATGTAAATTATCAAAGAAAATATTTTTCAAGGTAAATTGAACTTTACAAATAACCTTTTAAGGACACAATAAAAATAAAAAAACGATAAATAAATAATAAATTAATAAATATATATATACACATATATAGTTGGATAATAAAAATAATTCTTTACTATAAATCATTGGTCACTATAATTGTATATTCGTCAAATATTTATCATTTAATAAATAAAACGAAAAATGAAATGTAAAGAAGAAAATAAGTGTTCTTTTAAAGTAAAAATATTAATGAACTTTCAATGATGTGTAATAGGTGTTGAGAATGGTGTACTCGCATAGAGTTAGACTATTAACTAAGAAAAAAAAAATGTAAGAGATGCGAATTGAGGTGAAGGGTTCCGCAAAGTTGTAACGGTACATTACACTCATCGGAATTTACAGTAAAGTAAATTCGGTCAGCGTCCTTCCATCTCGTTCATTGGTATAATTTGGTATCGTCCTCTTTCGAGGAACATAAACAGGGTCAAAGGCTTACTCGATACATCGAAAGGAGTACATGGTAGTCACGATTTTATTTGAAATTATCATATTCCGAATAGTAGATATTTAAGAAGTAATATTTATTTCTTCTCCAAAGGAAGTCTTCTTTACCGAGCGAGTTCGACACGCAGTAAAACTTTCGCTAACCTTAAAAAATAATTAAAATGTTGCTTAAGTAATATGTGGTATGAGTCAACCTCATTGCCTTTGACCCTGTCCTTCATTTAACTTGTTACTTCTTCCTCAAAAAGAACAAGATACGAAAGTGGTTTTTTAACACCATCGGTAAGACTACCTGACTATGTTCTTATCGACCAATGAAAGTCTTATCGATGCAACATCATGGTCTCTTTTTCAAACTTGATTTAAAGTATATATTTAAAGCATGAGTATATCAATATTAATCGCATAACTTCTTACCACAACTATTAAAAACGAATAGCCGTGAAAGTTTCATGTAAAATTACTCCTTGTTTTCCATCAAGAAATACTGTGATCGTACTTTGTTCGTTGAATTCTGCGATACACCTGTTTAAAACCGGCTCGAATCGAGTCTAGTGAACTGGATCGTGAATTCCGAGACCAGATTCCGCGGACCTTGTTGCTTGCTCCGATTTACTTTTTTAAACTACAGCAATATCTTTTCTTTACTCTCTAACTACTCCGATATATAACTTTGAAAAACGATATGACATATTTTCTTTTTTTCTTTCTTTTTTTTTCCAGACACAACATTAGTACGATAAAAAATAAATTTTTGTATGTTATTTTTTGTCTTATTACAGTACATATATAAATAATAAGAGCGAAGAAACGATTTGTATAATCTTATCAAGAAACACACTAAAGTTTCCTGATAATTTTCGTAATAGTTTTACAAATATTAATCGTATATTCTTACAAGTTATATATATATATATAAACATTTTGTTATAATAATAATTAATTACGTTAAATTTGAAGTTCTTTGTACAGTTTGCGTACCGCGTATATCTATATATATCTATCTTGTTTTTCATTAAACACATTTCCCTGTAATTTCGACGATCGCTAAAAAGATAGTTCATTATTTCGATCGACGAGTTGTTCCTTTGAATTTTCATTTACGTTGTCACAATATTCGCATATTACGTCTTCTCGTGCCTCATCCTTCTTCGTATCTTTCTCTTTAATTTTTAAGATACTACGTCGAAGAAATTATTGGACATCACCGTAGACGTTTCATATATTCGTATTAGAAATACTTCTTAAAAGTTTGGCACAGTTGGCGTTTCGGATGCTGTACTCGCCGAATTCCTTGGCTTGCAGACGCAACCGCTCTCAACAAGCACGTAATCCTGACCGGTTAAGGTCACCGGCCCCAAAGGAATCACCAAAAACAGGTAAGGCACATACGTTTGCGTGCATTCGCCATGGACTACATCGCATTCTTTCGATCTGTAAAAATACATTCTTTTTAATCTTTATTTTTTAAATCGAGAAGATAAAGATTCGATTGATATTCAATTTTCAATTATATGTTTTTATTTGATTTTCAATTATATGAAATTATATGAAATTATATGATATAATATATAATAAGAAGAATTATAACTCGTTGATCAAATATTTACCACTACTATCCATTCGAAAAATAATTGAAAAGTAGGCCTAAGTATACACGTTATTCGTGAACATTAAGTATCATTGAACGTATCTGGCCTAGTGTGCTACATTTGAAATAAAACGAATCGCTGGGATTACGACGAGAATTTTAATTCGAAACTCTCTCGTTTCAATTCCAACATGTTACGATGAGAATCTCTTACATTAGACATTATAAAAAAAAAAACAAACGTTAATATCAATTATAGAAACACGGAATACTTACTCGCATACTTCGAATACGACTTGCTGAAGAAGATCAGGAAACTTTTGCACGATTGTTACTGGTTGACCACTCGTTAAACTGACGCCATACATGGGTGCTGTAGTGTTATATCTTGTTTTACATAATCTGCTCGGCGAGCCACAGTTTTCCTTGGCGGAAAAGGATCGTCCTTAAAATCATATGTAAGAAATAAATTAATATGACAATTCATTAAAATCAATAATATCCTGAATTCGTCTCAAGCAAAGATATAAAAAAAAATAATGTTAAAGAGGAGCTAAATCCTAAGATCTACGAGATTGAAACGGAAGAGGATCGAGAGGGTACAACTTCGCTCTTTCCTCAGAATTCTTCGTAACGACGAACGTGTACGAGTTGACGTTCGAAAGGAACGTGAGTGGGTCGCCTACGGATACCGTTATAAGCACAACGAACGATAACTGTATTGACTGGATAACATGGTGCCTTATTACCCGTCTTCCGTCTCAAAGGATTCCTCTTTTCATTGAAGGATTAACTTTTAAAGTTATATATGACATGTAATACTATTATATTATAGAGAGATAAACTAGAAATGATCGATCTAGATCATTGTCATCGTTCGATGATCGATGCATAATTTATGAATACAAAAAGAGGCAAGAAAATATGACAAATAATTTCGTCTTCGTTCCATAAATCTTCGAATTTTTATATCTGTCGTTTCCTTCTATGACCGAGGTAACTTTTTATTTTAAAATTAGATTAAAATCATTTCTCTTGGGCGTTGTCTAATTTGCAAGGGAAAAAAAAACCATTGTATCTGGAAAATCCTTGAAAGAAACTTTTCGTGCTAACCCGTGGATGTGGAGAACGTAACTGATTTTCTTTTTGTTTTTCTTCTTGTTTTTCGTTAAAACAATTATTCGAAAGAATTTTGAGACTTATTTAAGACTTACCGTTTCGTGTATGAGCTGCTATCGAGTAATCTCCTTGTAGGAGTTTGTAATTATGAAGAAGAGCTTGCCTCGTTATTTCGGGATCGATAGTTCGAGCCTGATGAGATCTAGCAGTTCTACCACTCGCCCAAAGATTTTTAAAGCTTCTCGATATCGCGGCTCTGTAAATAAAAATTAAATCTTTATATTCGACTATTAAAAAATACAATAATAAATATTTTCTTAGATATATTTAAACACACTTACGTAGGATATGGCATATTATTAGGTCCTATGCAATCGGGCGAGTCCGTTAATGCATCCCCCCAAACATATTTCAATTCTACACCATTTCCTTCGCACTTTTTCGCAGTGTACATTTGAGCACATGTAGAAATAATAATTAGAAACAATCCGAAATAATATTTCGACATCTGAAATGAAATAACGAAAAAGGGTAGACTGAGAATTATAAAATCAGCATATGCGTTCTGTCTGGTAGTTCGAGTTCACGAGAGGTCAAGTGCAAGAACTTTTTTACTTTTATTTTTTCGTCTATAAGAAAGAGAAGAAGAAGAAGAAGAAAGAAAAAAGAACAGGAAGGTATTACGAAAAAGATAAAAAAAAGAAAAAAGGGCTCGAGCAATAAGAACCGAAACGTGCGCTTTTTCTTTACAGTTTGAAACTTTTTTCCCTTTCGCGACAACTCGTACGCATCGATGTGTTCAATCGTTTATAGAATCTATTTGTGTTAGTTAGTTAGTTTAGTTTAGTTAGCAGCGAGGTCCCACTCTTGCGCATAAAAACCACGATTTCGAATGGCGATTAATAGTGGTGGTTTACTATCGGTATGCGTCCTTATATGCACTTTCGGGTTTCTAGGTTGCTTGATCCATAATAATTTCCGTTAGTCACATTCTCACGAGTGGATATGAGAGTGGATACGATAGGAGTGAAAGCAGAATGCTTTCAACATTAAACCCCAATGAACATCTTTTTAATGAAAACTTTTAATTAAATCCATCTCTTCTTTGATAGATCTGATTTAATTAATATTTCAAATATTTAATTTCATGGACTCCCGACGATTGCTGCTTAAACGAATATAATAATTCAAGAATCATTTGCTACGCTTGAATTCTTCTTACTATCAAAGCTGTACACCATCGAGAAATCATCGACGGATCCTGCTCAAGGTCGGTTAACGTGACCACGTTAACGACCTCTTTGCGTTCGTTCTTTCTCTCTTTCTCCTCATATACGAGCGCATATACAAACACATATACATGCATAAGACAGTTTTGTTATTAAATGTATACGTCTATTCTGACATAGACGGTTTTTCACTCTTCCTATCCCAGCACAATTATTATTTCCGCACGCAAGTCGCGATTTTGAAATCGAAAAGATCCGTACGAGTTATATTGAAAAAGAAAAGAAAAGAAAAGAAAACAAAACAAAACAAAACAAGATTAGAACTCATGAGAATCGAATGAACTTGAGAGCGGCCCTACTTTGCGGCCTTTCTAACGGCCTTACATAACGGTCGTACCTAGTAGCCCTACGTAATCATACTAAAGTTCATTATCTATTTATATTTTTCTTACGTTTTTTAAATTTCAAATTTTGATCGATATTTGCGTCCAATTCATTTCGATTTACAACGATTTAACTTTAGTTATTACGTATCTTAGAAACAGTTAGTAATACATTGCTAATGGTCCATCCGGAAGATTCTAACGGTAACGTTGTATGTCTCATCCAAAAGGATTTTATTTTTTTTTCTAAACTTCTGTCTTATCGAATACGAGCATGTATCTTAGACACGTTTTATTTATGTTTACTCATCCTTGCGGGTTCAATAACGGTAAAAACGTTTCGATGACTCGTCTCACGAATAAATTATTATATTCCGATTTTCCTATCTTCTAACGCGATAAAGATTCATTCTCTCCCTCGTTTAATTTGGTAATCTTACGCATTATGTAAACAAACTACCCTTTGTAACGAGCTCTACAAAATCGCATTTGTTACACCATATATTTCGTCAATGTATAAACTAAATATTAATGTTTATCACAGATTTAAATATATCTATATCTACTCGTAATAATAAAATATCGTCGTTTGTCAATAATTATGTTACTTGTATAATACACTTTGATGATACATTTTTTTTTTGAAATAATAGTAAATAAAATATTTATAAGTTAAATATCAAATATAATATTTTACATTTAAAATTTCAATAATCCCATACAATTTTTGTATAACTATTAAGTTATATATATATTACTATGTTATACATTACTCACCTTGAAAAAAATGATAAAGAAAGAGAGAGAGAGTCTATCCAGTAAACACAGCGTGTTCCCCCCGAATTGTCTCACTCCCTTTTTAGCAACAAGATGGACAAATTCAACGTTACATTAAACGATTCGATTGCTATTATTAACGAATAGATAAATAGATGAAAAAAAAAGAAAAAGGGAAAAAAACGGGTGCACGAGTTTCAAATGCCGGTCATGTCTCACTACACCGGATATGGGGTCGTACACCTCCGTCCTCTTAGGTGGATGTCCAGAGGTTGACTGCAGAGCACTGTAGAGTCCTAAGTAGCTCTCTCTGTGCTTTGCTGAAGAAGCCGTCGGTAAGAGGGGATAAAGCGGGATGTATTGCTCCCTATTTTACCTCGGAACTTTTTCCTTCATTCTACGTCGGTTAAGATAAATGAAGAAGGAAAAAAAAGAGAACAAAAAAAATGAAGAAAAGCTGGAGTCTGAGTAACAGGAAATTATTATAACTTCTTACTCTTTTTTTTCTTATCTCCCCCTGTTTCTTTGAAAGATCCAAATTATCTTCTATGTTTAGAATTTATCATTTATTTTTTTAACGATTCTCTTCTACTTCCGTCAGTATTATAGATAAAAATCAGTAGTTACTTTTTTACTTATACTTATTTATTTATTTTTTTTTATTATTTTTTATTGATACTTTTTCCACCATTGAATAATCGCTATACATATATTTCGTACAAGTATAAACGCATATAATCTTATTTTAAACCTGACACAGCGCTTCTTATGATAAGATACATGCTTATAAAGTCACACGTATACGAGAATTAAGTATATTTTGAAAATTGTCAAAACTATGAAAATTCGATTGTAACACACCTAATATTATCTCTTCTAGAAAAACTGATTTTTATGTCAATCGATTATTAATCATGATTTACTGCATAATTATCTGTTACCATTAAGTATTGTAATGGTTTATATAAATAATCAGACAGTATTTTTTAGACAAAAATTCAACAATTAATTTGAACGATTTAAATGATAAGTTAAACATTGAACATTTTATGATAGAGTTCCTATTTATTTTAGAGATAATTAATCTGTTTTTCTTAATTTTTCACTTGTAATCATATATAATATATATGTAATTCATAAATCAAAATATGAAAATAGTTCTATAATGCACCTTTTAAGTAAAAACGAACAGAACATTTTTGCACATACACAGATATCAAACTTGGTCATCTAATATTAAAATTATGAATGCTGGATATTATTTATAAAACGAAAGAAGCTATTTGATAAGATACATGTGTAACAAGCGTTCAGATAATATTAATTATTCTATTTAAAAAAATCCACCCTATAGCAGTCTCTTTAATATAATAAAAATGTAATCAATGAAATACGTTTAATACTATTTTACTTAAATATAGAAGTAAATTAATCATCAAACTTAATTGAATTAACGCTTGTATCTATTTGTCCACCACAGTAGCTACCTCGCTTCTTCTTTGTTTTCTCGTGTCTAAAAGACTTTCCTCTTGTGTGCCGTAAATCGAAATTAGCCTTTTCTCCCCACGAACCTCGTGCGCCTCTCTATTAAAATAAAAATAAAAATAAAAAAATACAAGATCGGATAAACATACCAACGATGAAACTAATATCAATTACTTCTTCGATATCATACGTATGTTTGTAATTAGATTATATCTCACCTGTTTATATATAATTATATATACATTTATATTGCTTTGTTATTGTATCAATCATCAAAGGTGACTTTTTTATTTAGCGTAGGCGCAGAATCGAAAGATTTTCTTTTATCAAAACTGCCTCTACCTCCACGGAATCCTCCACCCCCGCCGCGACCTCCCCGATCTCCATTATCATTACCCCACGATCTCCTAAATCCATTTCCATTTCCCTGACTATTATCATTATTGTCATTATTAACATCACCCCAAGACCTCCTATTATCAAAACCACCTCTCCCCCCTCTCCCCCCTCTAAATCCACCACGTCCACCTCTTCCTCTGTCACCTCCTCCACCACGACCACGACCACCACGACCACCACCACCACCTCTATTACCCCCACGTCCCTCATCACGGCCACCTTGAAAACCGAAACCACCGCGTCCACCCCTAAATCCACCACGACCTCCGCCATTATCGCCAAACTTCTTAACATTATTATCATCTCCCTTCTCCTCCTCCTAAAACAAAAGAGAAACACAAGGTCAATCGCCGCATTGTACAAATATCATATTTTTATCATATTCTTTCATATTTCTAATCTTATAATTATTATTAAATAATTATTATTATTATCTGAAAAAAGCTATGGTTAATGCACGGAAACATCAGCGCAAACTTTTACAAGGCGGCGAATGACCTGTGCGCTTCTCGGATATTTCCGAGCATTTACCTTTGCCTCGAAGGAATTGTTAGCCAATTTTGGATCCAATACAAAATCTTCGTCCTTTACTCGACGAAATGGCACATTTCTTTGCTGCTATATTTATCAAAGAATAAGAAATAAAAAAAAATGAAAAACTATAAAAAATAGCTTTCTTCAGAAATAATAAAGAAATAAACAAAATATAATATCGCACCTTATTTCCATTAAAACTATTACTTGCTTTTACAAAATTGCTGTAATTATTCTTCGCAACTTTCATAGGCAGATTTTCGTCCTGATCCCCTGTATTTTTCCTTTTTTCGGCTTTACCAGGTGTTTTACTAACCTTTGGTTCTGGTTCTTTTGCAGTTTGCTTTTCTTCCTCACTGGAATCACTTTCTTCACTTGATTTATTAGACTTTTGAGTAAGTGATGTTGTTGAAACTGGCTTAGCTTTTGGCGTTTCCTCTTCAGAAGAATCTGAATCGGATTCATCACTAGATTCTTGTTTTTTACTCTCTGCAATTGCTGCTACCTTTGCAGGTTTTGGTTTTACACATGCAGCAGATTTTTCGTCTTCAGAATCATCAGAATCATCGCTTGATGATTTTTCTTTTGGTGCTGTTTTCGATAATGTTTTTGCTGCCAATGTTTTCGATTGCTCAAGTTTTACTTTTGCATCATTATCTGAATCATCAGAATCATCACTAGAAGATTCTTCCTTCTTAGCTACTTTCTTTGTTAATGCTGGTGGTTTTTGAACAACCGTTTTTTCATCGCTTTCCTCTTCACTGGAGGATGACTCTTCTTTTTGTTTGACTCCTACATTTTGTGGTTGTTTAACAAGAGCAGATTTTTTCACAGCTGGTTCTTCTTCACTACTATCATCGCTTGAAGATGATGCTTTTTTTGCTGCTAATGTAGCAGGTCTTTTTGTTGGCAATGATTCAAGCTGATGAGGCTTTACAGTTTTAAGTTGTTTACTAGTGCTGTCTTCACTTGATGTTGATTCTTGTTTAGATTGCCTTTTTCCTGCTTCACCTTTTTTAGATGCAACAATTTTTTGAACAGGAGCTTGCTTTGTAGCTGATTTTGGAGCTGATTGCATTTGATTTGTATCTGAATCATCATCGGATTCATCACTTGAGGATTCTTCTTTTTTAGAAATATTGCTCTTATTAATCGGCGTAGATGTTATTTTTGGTTTTGACTCTTCTCTGATCGATACATTTCCTGACTCATCTTTTTTCGTTCTTTTTTTAGAAAGAACTTTTTTTGATAGTGATTGTGTTGGGACCAATTGTTTTACTACTTTTTCATCAGAATCACTACTCGTTTCGTCCGAAGATTCTTGTTTCTTTTTTGGTTGCTGTGCTGACGAAGATTTCAAAGAATTATTAGAACTAGTAGCAAGCTTTACTTTAGATTCTTTTTTGTCATCAAAGTCAGAATCATCAGAATCACTACTGGAAGAAGCTTTTCGAATATTCACTGCTTTAGTAACGTTAGGTACAGCAGATGCTTTCGTTAGTAATTTTGGTTTTGCTTTTTGTTGCTGTTCTTCTTCTTCTGTAGAACTTTCTTCTGAACTATCCTCTTTCTTTGCAGGCATACTCTTAATATTACCTTTATCATTTACCACTTTTTTAGGAACTACCTTAGGTGTTACTGCATTATTCGATGGCATTTTCTGAGCACCTTTAGGCATTGGTTTTTCATCCTCGCTTGAAGATTCTTCTTCTGAAGATGATTCTTTTTTTTGTACTATAGGCGTTTTAGGTGGAACTTTACCATTTACCTGTACTACCTTTTTCGGTGACTCATCTTCACTTTCAGAACTTGAATCAGAGCTATCTTTTGCTTGTGCTTTTATTGTTACTTTTTTCTGTGAATTCTTTTGAAAATATTGAAATACATCCTCTAGAGTAGGTGTTCCTTTTGGTAATGGAGACTAAAACAATTATATATTTTTAGGCAAAAGTTCATTTTTCAACACCATCAAACATTCTAATGGGACATCAACAAAAATTTAAGAGATATAAACATGAAACTACAAAATAATGAATTTCAGAACTAATTGCTACTACAATAATTATTATAGAATATTCGAATTATTTATAAAAGCGGCATAAATGAAATGTACAAAAGTGATTTGTCCCACGTGGTATCGCGGATGGCGGTAATAGTTCCCCGAGTTGTAATTGTTGTGTTAAAACTACGAATGTATAATTTTTACAAAATATAATGATATTTATCTTACCGCATGAGTTTTTTTCTGGAAAACCATCGCCAAAGATGCATCCTTTTTTAGTAAATAATCAAATACAAGAGCAGAAATACCTAAATCGACCGACGCCATGGCTGAAACAAGTTTCACTCTGGGAATGGACTAGGAGAAAGACCTTACAAGAGTGGGTGCCGAAGATTTTATAATCTCGCCTTAAGCTTATGCGTTTATATGAGTTTTCATGAAATGCAAGTAACCTTACGTCCGTCCATTATGAGTTTTCATGAACGGAGAGGAAGAGTTAATTTGACTTTTTTTGTGTAATACAAACTATTGATGCTGAATTAAACAGATTTTAGAATAAAGTAAAAAAATCTCTTTAATGCTGTAAATTTTATTCGTTTTTATGAAAATGAATAAAGAATTAAAGCCACTAGCGCCATCTTCATATAAATCATACTCTATGACACGTGACCTACGTACGCTGTATGTGAAGATAATTTTATTTTTAAACTAAAATTACAAAAGTAAATCTTAGAAAACTGTATTATAAGATAAATAAAAATAGCTCTTGCCAATTATTTATTAATTTTATATTTTTTAATCAGGTAATTTTAATTTATGTCGAACAGTATGTTCTACTCTGTTATTGGTTAAGCTATTTGAACTAAATTTGTTTTCATGGCATCTGATTGATCTATCCGTACGGATAATTTAAACTGATTGGTTAGTTTTAAATGAAAGCCGGCATCGGTTTAACCTACAATAATTTAGATGTATATAATTTAACAGTATCAAGTATAAAGTAGAAGTGAAGGAAAAATGACGGAAACGCAACAAAAAACGAAGTGTATTACATTAAAAGGATCTGCGGAGTTAGTAACACAGTATTTACGTAAGTTAATATCATGATAATTTTAATTATTTTATATTAAAAAGTTCGCTAAATTTGTTTTCATGATATAAAAAAAAACTACTTTTATTTCATGTAGTTTATGGAATCAACAGTATACTTTATCAAAGAGGAATATATCCTCCAGAAACATTTGAGCCAGCGGAACAGTTTGGCTTATTCTTCTTAATGTCAACGGATGAGAAAATTAAGTCATTCTTAGACACCGTATTAGGTCAGATTCAAGAATGGCTAGTTCAGCGAAAAGTTCAGAAAATAACTTTAGTTATAACAAATGTTAATACGAAAGAAGTTTTAGAGAAATGGGATTTTAGAGTCGACTATGAAGGTCAAGTATCAAAAAGTACAAGCAATAATAGTAAGGTAGAATTGCCTGAAGTTGGTACAAAGGATGTGAAAACTATACAGAAAGAGATTCGAGAAGTTATACGTCAAATTACAGGTATTTCCAATTTCTTTTTGTTACAAAACTTATTTATAATTTAATATATTTTATTAATAAATTCTTTGCAAAATTTGCTACAGAACATTTTTATTTATCAATAGAATTACATTCCTCTTTTTTAGGTACTGTAAGTTTCCTACCATTGTTGGATTGCTTATGTTCCTTCGACATACTAACTTATACTGTACCAGACTGTAATATTCCAAAAGAGTGGGACGAAACTCAACCAGTATTCATAGCAAACAGTCAGGAAGTACAATTGAGATCATTTTCAACATCAATCCATAAAATGGATACTATTGTTAGTTATAGAAATGTTTGAATAATTATGATAAACAAATAATTTATAAGTGTACATAGATCTTTTGAAGAACTATATTTTAACTAATTATCTTTCCAATAAAATATACTATTTCTTTTTACAAAATTTTAATAAAGATGTAAGTTTTAATAAGAGATATTGAAAGGATATTTTATATACAAAGCAGAAACATTTAAGACTGTTTATCTCACCCTTTGTTTTATAATAATTTATGGTAACAATGAATATGAACATAACTCTTGACCAATTTTGATGAGTAAGGTTTTATTTAGGCAAGAATATCCTTTTAAATTGGTACAGAGAATATTCTTAAGCAAACATACACACCGATACATTATTCCATGATTTTCTCACATATCACTGGAATGTAAAAGCCTAAACTAAAGAGCATGCCTCGGGCACCTCTGACACTTCATTTCAACTGCGTGTCTAACTTATTATGCTTTAGAACTTACGTTCTAAATTTACATGCTAATGGGAGTACATACCAAATGTTGTAATCAACTGTTAATGCTAGTTATTCAGATTAAAAAATATATGGAAAAAGAAAAGCGTGTGGAACCCATACAAGACTGAAGAGAAACTTTTTAAGAGTAAGGTAACTGTATTGAATTATTACATTATTAATTAATTTTGTCTACACATTTACAACGTACTCAAATATATAACTGCAGTTTATGTATACCAAAATGATAGGAATTCTCTCTAAAGACATTTTATTTGTTAATTAATTATTTGATCTAAAATTTAAATATTTCATTTGATTATTTAAAAAGAGTAATGTGTCAGAAGGACAGAAAAAAATGAGTAATAATTAAACGTGTAAATAAATTTATATTGAATTTAGCACAGCCATTCAGAAGGCAGTACTAGCGTTACATAGCTTACAATTAAATTTCGATAGATCAAGACAAATTGTCATTGAAGTTTTCTATTCCGTACAGATAAGCTTTAATTAATTATATTTAAATTATTTAAACAAGATGTAATGTACGTGGAGTATACTTAACTAATGTTTAAACAATAGTACATTTGTTTAATAAATACTCATAAATATAATTTGAACATAAAAAAATTTCGAACTCAAATTAATAACAAAGTTAGAATGTTTAAACAATAAAAAATATTAGTAGACATACTTATATCCTATATATTCTTTAAATTATTATTAATTAATCGAAAGAAATATATGTTTGCGTATATGTTCGGTTCACAGTCCTCCTCGAAAGATTTTACATTTCTTTCATTTTTATGTATTTGTTTAAACTAATGTTGATTTTTTATAACCTTGTTGTACAGTGGTTACTTCGGAGGGGGAAATTTATATCCAAAAGAATATCACATCGAAATTATTTAATATATTCAAAGTAAAAAATATATTCAGCACTGTACGAGAACATTTAAACAAATGTACGTTAGTTTAAACAAATACATAAAAATAAAAAAAATATAAAATCAGAAAGTTATTATCTTAATTTATATTTAATACGATTAATATTCTCGTTACACGCACATGCGCAACTTTTAGAAAGCCATATAAACAACTTTCGATAAAAAAACTTTTTTATGTGACAACGTATCAGTCTAACAGGAGACTTCGAAGAAGAAGGTACATAGATAATAATTTCCGAGCTTTTTAACAATAATAGGCACTTCTATCGATTAATTAACAATTTTTTAAATATTTTAATACATTCTGTTTATATTTCAGATTTTTTAAACATATATGTACTAGTATAAGCATTACATACTTATTAGCATACTTTAAATATTAATTGATTTCGACGTGATATTCTTTTCAATGAAAATTTCCCCCTCCGAAGTCACCACTGCACAGGAACGTTAAAACAAATTTACATTTATTTGAACAACTACATAAAAATAAAAAAAAAAGTAAAATAAGAACGTTATCATCTTAAATTTTGTCGATTAGATGAATTATTCCTTTTTTACACGTGCGCAACGTTCGGAAAGTCTTGTAAACAACTTTCAATAAAAGTAATTTTCTAGAGGACTTTGACTCAGTCTAACGGAAGACTTCGAAGGAGAAGGTACATAGATCATAATTTCGGAGCTTTTTAACAACAATAGACATTTCTATCGATTAATTAACAATTTTTTAAATATTTTAATACATTCTCTTTATATTTCAGATTGTTTTAACACATATGTACTTTTTTAAGCATTACATACTTATTAGCA